ATATATATATATATATAATTTTTTTTATTTTTATCAAAACACAGTTTTTTTTCCTATCTTATGCAAATATGGCTCATGAAGCCCAGATGTGAGGGAGTATTCAAAATCACCAAAGGTCCCCAGGTAGTTCTAGTCTAGTGTAAATGGGGCACATCACTGAAAGGCTTAGTCATCATGTCTTTTCTATAGAAATATTGCTGGCAGTGTGCACGCACATGCGTGTTTGCCTATTTATACAGCATATCTTTAATCTGTCATTGCTTCAGCTAGCTAGGAAAGAGCATGAAGTGGTGAAAAAGAGCTTATAAGGGAACTCCATTTTTAGGCCCCGACTTGTGAAAACCTAACTGCGACCATTTGTGCAATTAGGTAGCTGTCATCTGCGCTTCGATCAGCACTCTCCTCACTGCGAGGAGCTAACGAGAATCTCCTGTCACCTCTCACCTTGATCACACACCAATTACTCCCTTAAAAAAAAAGCTGCACGCTGGGTGAAACGACCAGACGCCGGTGGTCAAAGTCGCAAGACGCACGAGCCTAAAGGCACACGTGCATCAACTGACGAAAAGTCACATCCCAACTGATTAAACAATGTCTGCTTCGGTCTTAGCCGCACCTCACACCAACGGCGCGCGTCGCAAGCGTGAATGTGACACCATAAGTTCAGTTGGAGAATTCAGGGTTGAATGCACGTTTGGCCAAACCGCAACGGAAGAGTGTGTGTGTACAGGGAATAGACTGGAACGCGCCTGTTAGACCACAACAGGACATCAGAAATTTGTTCAGTAACAGTAAAATGTACATGAGTTTAACCACACCTCCCTTTTTAATGTGTGTGTGTGTTTGGGGGTGGAGGGTGGGGGTGCAGGAGGGAACGAAAGACAGAATGAAGACTCTGTAGGGGCCTTGTCAAATACATGCCCCTCAAAGTGCCCCCATCTAACCGTGGAGCAATGTTGACCTTAGCTGCCCCCCAACACTTCAGAAATAGCATGAAGCTGTTTATCTGAATCTCAGATCAGATGTTGCTCTCTCTCTCTCTCTCTTTCTCTCACTCGCTCTCTCTTTCTCTGGGACTTTTAGCAGCAAAAAAGACATCTTGTTAAGCTATGTTTAATTTCAGTACTTCCTCTACATAGATGACGCCAGCCATCTAGTCTTTGCAAAGTAGCACAAGAAGAGGAGAGTGGAAATCAACTCTGGGTATCATGTCTTCAGCTGATGTAGCGATAGAAACTCTGTTGAATGCACTCGCCCTAAAAATCCAGATCATATTGCAGGAAAAGACGATTTGAGTCACAGCTCTTGCTTCATTAGTATAATTGGCCCGTGACTTTACTTTTTGAAGTGTTTAAGGACTGGCCTGTGCCACTTATGATTATAGTGTTCTAACGTATAATTGACTAGACTGCAGCCATCACCAAAGGGTGGTAATACACAGATGTCTGATTAACCGTCACCAAGATGAAGTCCGTGTCTCCTTGGACAAAGTATGAATTAATGTCGCACTATAGCCCAGCGCCTATTTTACTCATCTGTACAGAAACAGTGATGTACTTCCTGCTGGGTTATTTATCAAAGTGTGTGTGTGTGGAGGTGTGTGTGTGTGCGGGGAGGATGTGTGTGAGGTCTCATTCATCTGTCTCCACATGCACCCACTCAAGCCCTATAAAAGGCCAGTCATAAGAATGAGAGAGCGGCAATACTGAAGAGGCAGCTGCCTCTTTGCTAATAGGAGAATGACACCAGAACTAAGATGGTCCAACAGGAAAAAAAAAATAAAATAGATGTGCATCATATGCACTGCTTGTATATAAGCACCCATGCCACCTTCTTAATGGCACACACAAATATTGGTGCCGTCGATTTATGCACATGCCACAAATTGACACAAAGTTTAAATTAACAACAGCTTAAACGTGCCTGCCACACACACACAGCTTTTTCTCGTTTTTCTTTCAGCCTCATTTTCTCTCACCGCTAGTGGTCGTTTACTCTACAGATTGTTCAAAATTGAGCTTTTGAGACTTTTCATTTCTAAACAACAAAAAACCTCGCTCTCAAATTAAACAAAGATCAGCGAGGGAAATTGCCCAGGAAGACATCTGCGACTCATTTTCCCCCGAGTGTATGATTAGGAAATTCATTTATGTCTAACGTATAATTCCTCGCCGTCTTTCAAGTGGGAATGTCCACGCGGTGCCCTGTGTTTCTACCCCTTGGAAAAAGAAAGGAGGAGTAAGCGGAAAAATAGCCCAGAATGACTTTTAGAAACAAAGACTGTGAAGGTTGCAAGAATGCTCCACTTTTAGATTTCTTAATGATGTTGCTAGGATTTCATGCAATTACGTTTAAAGAAAGAAATCGGTGCACATTTTGTGCTGCACATGTAAGTAAACATGGTAACGACATGTCAGTGTTCAGAACTGTTATAGCTCTGATTTCCCAATGATCTATCCTGTCCTTCCGTGGTCTTGCTACCCATAATTAGAGGTTTTTATAAGATTCATTTACTGTTGCTGAGTGCATGACGTCTTCTTTGACAGTGACAGATGTGGAGGGTGCGGATGAGTTCATTGTTTAACATCCTAACAAACAGTTGGGATCGTGGAGTCAAAAACAATACATCTGTTTGACTGTTCACTGTGCCACCGTGTCCCTCCACGAGTTTACTGTAAGTGCTCCAATACAAGTCGCGCCACTGGGAAACAGAAACGAGATGGGAACAGTGTGATTCTTAATGAAGCTACACCATCACGGACAACAATAGTTCTGAGACTCATTTCACTTTTGAAGGGGGTTTATTAATGAACAGTTGAGTTTTATTTTATTTTATTATCAGAATCAGAATCATAATAAGCTTTATTATCATTGTACCGAGATACAGCGAGAATACGTTCGTACAGTCGTCCGAAAGATGGGCGGAGTGCACGTAGCTGCTGCTATGATAGCGCGGCCTCTTATCCTTTTCAGAATAATTTTTTAGTTAGAAAAGGGGGAAATCCATGAGGATAGGATAATGGTATACAAAAAAGATCTCTTCACACCTTGTCCTAGCAGGACACGATTTAAGTAATCAAAAAGCTCTGCCAGCAAGCGCATTCATGAACACGTTACATATGCATTTGACAGCAAGGCGGTGAAGTTTGTCCATGAAGCACTTCCAGATAGTCCATTGTCCTGATAAGATGTTGGTCAGATGGCACAGTTCTGGTAAGCCTCCACAGAAGTTCTGGGGGGTGGAGGATTGTGATAAACAAAGCTTTTCCTTAGTTTACACATTTCCCAGGAGAAATTGATATGTCGGCCTGTTTTCAAGGCCAGCCGGGGGAGGCAGATTCAGATAAGCCACAATTGCTAAAGTAGTTTTCGTTTTGGAAGATGTGTAAAATAGGAGCTCCGATACACAGACAGAGTGCAAAAAAGCAGGAGGAGAACAGGAGAGGGAAGAGAATGCGTCCGCCTCGTACGAGAGCCAGTGAGGAAAAAGACTTTATTAGCGGAGAAAACTGATGTTTGTCTGCTTCTTTCTTGGTTCTGTTAGGTAATGGCTATGGAAATCACCGTAACTCACCTGGACTGCTAGTCTCTACTGGTGGGATGAACAAGAACATGCAGGCAAAGTCTCCCCCACCTATGAACTTGGGCATGAACAACCGTAAACCTGACCTACGTGTGCTCATCCCCCCTGGAGTGAAGAATAACATGCCCTCCATTGTGAGTAACGTTTGCATCGTTTCATGTCATCGTTCTTTTTTTTTTCTCATCTGCTTTCTCCTTTGTGTATTTCATGACCAGTAATTTAGTGTTATTTTATATTATCTATTTCCTTTCATGCCTTCTCTACTGTTTTCGTAGTTTATTTGTATGTCAGACTTGGGCTGAGAGATTCATGTGAGAAATTTTTAAGTAACAGATATTTATATTTATTATTGGCCCAAGGATGATATACTTTGTTATATTTTGCCATGCGCTGTGCTGTCTGAGTGTACACCGGCACTTTCACCACACAATCTTGTATTTCTGCCTCATGCAGTTTCTTAAGTTAGCATAGTTTTAATCGTTCCCATCATTTTACTTTCCTGATTAGTTTTGGTTCCGTTCGCTCAGTCTTCAACTAGTTCCATCCTTAGAGCCACACCTAAGAGCACACTCATCTTCACTAATTTGAATTTATTGCCCTCCCCTTTCAATGCCATCAGTCTGAGGATGTTGATCTGCTTTTGGTAAGTCGGATTACCACTCAAATTTAGATATTAAGACAACCTGAATAGTATAATATTTTCATAAAAAACTTTCAGGTTTTGTAAAACGAGTCCATAATTCTTAGGAGTAACATGTGCTCTATGAAGCGAGAAAAAAAAAAGTTGCATTTTATGTCGGTTTCAATTTTATTACCAGTGAATACAAGTAAAAAGTTATTGTTTGCTGTTTTAGCAGAGTAGCTGTTAATGTAGGCGACACAGTGATGCAGTGGTTAGTGCAGTCGCCTCTCAGTGAGTTTGTCACTGGTTCGTCTTATGGCTTGGGGCCTTTTTTGGGTGGAGTTTGCGTGTTTTCTTTGTTCATACATGGGACTTCTCCTGGTTCCTCCCACAGACCATGTTAGGTTAACTGGTAACTCTAAATTGTCCCTAGCTGTGAGTAAAAGTGAAAGTGTGAGTGGTTGTTTCTCTCATTTATCTCTATGTGATGGATTTGTGATGACCTTGCGACCGGTTCAGTGTTCCCCCGCCTCTCTTGCTGGAGGTAGACACCAGCTCTCTGAGACCCGGAAAGAAATTGCAGATAAAGAAAGTGTATAGATAGATGGATGGGCTGTAAATGTCCTAAAAACTTTTTACCCTTTCTTTTTTCCTGACACTTTTGATGGGTCAAATTTTGGCTGTGTGACAGCTTGTAAAGGCACATAGTGCCATCAAGTGGCAGGTGAGAGTTAAAGCAGCATGGCCTCTTTTCTGCCACAGCTGTTCTTTATCCCCTCCTCCCTAATAAAGGATTTTGTTGTGAAAATAAATATAACACTTTTATTTCCCATACCGAATGGTGGGGAAAGGGGAAAAATGTATAAGCTTTCATTTTATATCAAACCTCCATTGGTTTATGACAATACTCCCCTCTTCTTCGATGAAGCCCCTTTCCTTTGCTATCATGCGTTGCTGTGGAAACCAACTGTGTTACTATAGCGACAGTGAGCCCACAGGAAAAAAAAGAAGGTGGTAAATGATAGGGTTGGCAGGGTTCAGCTGAGATTCTTGTCAAGTGATTAATTTTCCCTGAAGTTGGCATCATATTTATTCTCTCAGCATCTGCTGAAGGAAAGAACAAAAAAACAAACAAAAAAACAGTCAAAAAGTGTTTTTGGTTTTTTTTTTTCATACTTTTTGTTTGTTTTGGAGTTGACTTCTTGTTCTCATACCTGTCCCATCTTCTGCTTTCTTTGTGTGTGTGTGTGTGTGTGTGCGTGCATGTGCGTGCGTGCGCGTGTGTGTTTCTATTTCTGTCACAGAACCAGAGAATAAACAACTCTCAGTCTGCTCAGTCATTGGCCACCCCTGTGGTATCAGTAGCAACTCCCACTCTGCCAGGACAAGGCATGGGTGGTTATCCATCTGCCATCTCTACTTCTTATGGTACCGGTATGTACAACAGTGTGTGTTTATGTGTGTGTGTGTGTGTTGTTTGCTTTTCTTTCAGACGGCAGCTCTGTTTTTCATTGCTAACTATGTATTTATAAATACCTTGTTTATTTGTTTATGTAATTTTGCTTTAATTACTTGTTAAATGCACTCAAATAACTTAATTTGTGTTTAGATTTTGAATTAGCCCATTAGACGTTTGAGTTGCACAAGAAAAACCTTCCAGATTTTAAGTGCTATACAGATATTGAACAGCAGAGGGCGCTATAGTTCCACCAACGATGGTGGAACATCATGGTTTCATCAGGGCCGCAGAATCATTAGCCACTTTCCACATCTTTTGTCTAAATACTCACCTTCTTTTTGTTCTGTGTGTTTGTACAGAGTACTCCCTGAACAGTGCAGATCTGTCCTCGTTGTCCGGCTTCAACAGCGGCAGCTCCCTGCACCTTGGCTCAATGAGTGGGTGGCAGCAGCAACATCTGCAGAACATGCAGCATTCAGCTCTCAGCCAGCTCGGGTGAGGTCACAACACCAACTGTGTGGTGCTGTCGGGACGTGCATGATGGAGTATTAACAGAGATCATTTTTGGAGATGCCACAATAAGACTTCTTCACCGTTCTAGACAGTGGTGTAGTCTATGATATGCAGGTATACGGAGTATACCCATTAGAAAAGCTTGGGAATTACAGTATACCCACTTAAAAGTGCCCAGTGATATGTGACATATAATTGGGCATGTGTCATTGTCAACGCATTTGGAACATTTTATAGACACACTGAGTTGGTCCAACAATATTTTTTGCATAATTAATATTTCTGAACTATACTTAATACTTGAACATGTTTTGCTTTGACACTGTTTTATAAATCATATATCATGTGTTTAATACAAAGCCAACTGTGGTACAAAGTTTGTTGTACATTTATTCAAATAAAAACATCAGAGAAATTTGAAAATGTTCGATATGCTTAAAAATCAAAATAATTTGACAATTACATTGTACTAACTGGTGTACTTTGGTTTTTACGCACAGTATACCCAGTACAAAAATGTAGACTACACCACTGGTTCTAGATCTTTACCTGTAGGGTCAAACAGGAGTGACTCACAGTTTTCACTGCATGTCTGCGAACCATGAACTGACACTACTTTGTCTCCTGCTTTGTAACTCTTTAACCCCTTTCGTTTCCTTTCCTTCCAACAGAAATTGCTCTAGCTCACACTTATGTCAGGGTTCAAATCTGTCCCTGCCCTCTGCTCAAAGCCTGCACATCAAGTCCGAACCTGTTTCTCCTCCTAGAGATCGTACCAGCAGCACACCGGGGGGCTACGGTGGGATGCCACCTTCCCAGAATCCCCCGTCCCGCCAGGACTCGGGACGCTCCCCCGTTGATAGCCTGAGCAGTTGTAGCAGCTCCCACGAGGGCAGTGACCGAGACGAGCACCGGAACGAGTTCCACTCGCCTCTAGGACTGGCTCGGCCCACCCTGGACGAGCGCGAGAGTCCGTCCATCAAGCGGGTGCGCCTTTCGGAAGGATGGGCAACATGATAGTCCTGTCAGCGCCCTGGCAGTGCCCCCCCTCCCCCCGCCCCAAGTTGCCCGGAGCCTCTGACAGCGCAGCATCATGAGGCCCCCTCAAGTCCGCTCCCTTTTCCTCTTCCTCGACATGAGTCACGCACCGTCCAACCACGGCTTCTCTCCTTTTATCTCTTTAACACTGAAGGAAAGGAAAGGGGGCAACACTTTTCAAAAACATGTTTGTAATTTTATTTTTACTTTTCTTCGTTTTGCTGAGTGTGTGTGTTTGCTTTACATATTGACATTATATAAACCAGTGGGTTCTTGTTTTGGGGTTTTGGGTGGGTGGGAGTTGGTTTGGATGGGATCTGGGGGATTTTTTTTTTTTTTTTTTTGATGGGGAGGGGGGGGACTATGCATAAATTGTGTTGTGTGTGATTAAAAAAGATATGCATATACACACACCTCTGTGTACATATATGCTTATCAGAAAAATCAGAAAAGTAGTCAGGTACTCAGTCTCATAAAATGTACTTACAGTTTGCCTCAGCGATGTATCATTAGACAACAAAAAAGGACAAAATGTAATTAAAAAAGGACAAAAAATATATTTAAAAAAAAAAACATTACCATGAGGTTGAGTGTCCACGTGAGCTGGACAAGCAGTACGTGTGTACAGAATCAGTTTCATTGCTATTCTCTGCAGCTCTCCTTTGCAAAAATGTGTGTTAACATTAGATGATGTCATGTTGCAGGTTCAACGTATTTATGTAAATAACGGGTCGCTGATGGGGGGGTGCAGGGGTCAGAAGCTGCCGGACAATTCAAGATGTATTAACTCAATAAGTGAAAAGCTATTATGCAACATTTGAAGGATTGTACAGGTAAACACGCAAACCCGATGGTCGGTGTTTGGCACCTTTGGCGATTTTAGCGCTCCCCCCCCCTTAAAGAACGGAGTGAGGACCACCCTCTGATCCAAGAGCTCCGCGGGTGTAATCAAGAAAACTCTGGATCCAGTATTACCTACTCAGTATTGATAAACAAACACAAAAAAAAATACATAAAAAACTAATAAAAGACGGAAAAAAATAAAACAATTGTACGATACACTTGCTTATATTTTCATATGAAAGGAATACAATGCAAAGCATTTTGTGGCTTTTTGTAGTTTCTATAAGCCAGAATGTGTTTTTTGATAGCTTTGCTAATAAAAGACGGATAGTTCGCCCTAAAGTGGGGAAATGATCGGGCTTCGAAGCCCAAAGCCATGAAAAACAGACTGAGATCCAATGCTTTGCTGAACTGTTTTATCTTTGTAGAGGTTTGTTTTTAAACGTGTATTTCTAATTATATATAATAATGGTAATATTAAGAATCTTTAAAAAAAAAAAAATCTGTGAAATTAACATGCTTGTGTATAGCTTTCTAATATATAAATATATATAATAATGATTTTTTTTTTTTTGTTGGTTTCTTAGTGGAGTTTCTATGTGCGGTTGCACATGTCGTCTGGTTTGTTTCGTTTGAACTCTGAGCAGCGCTAATGTTCGGAGGTGTATTTAGACTATAACGTTGAAAAACCAGCTGGGAAGCATTAGCAGGATCGAGATGGGCCTGAGCGCTGAAAACGTGGAAGACGTCCTGAGACTGTGGAGGTGACGCAGAAATAAAATGTAAAAAATAAACACGTATGATGCTTGTCACGCGGATGAGAAAATGTGTCTGACCCTCAGATGGCTACACGTGTATGTATATTTCTAAATTATCCAATTTAATCCTGTTGATCAAATGAAGGATTTTTTTTTTTTTTTTTTGTCAACGTTAAACCTCAGGTCTTCTCCAGTTTTTGCTCAAACTGTACAATTTTCTTTAGGATCTTATAAAGCAATCTTCTCTCCCCCC